TACCAGTAATCTTTTATCACGACTCCGTCAGACTCTGTGATCCGATGATCACGAAGTCTTAGGCAGAATCGTGATTCGTCTGAAACAAACAAACAGTGCCGTGTCATTCATTTGTGCAGATTCGACATTCAATGTACCGTTAAAGCGGGGTGTTTCAGTGATGTACATTTAAATGTAATCTCAGTAAAAAACGAGTGAGTTACTAAATTTTCTCTTTACTGTAGAGGACGAATGTTACTAATTAACATGAATTGTTGTTAAACATAACCTAATACATGTGTTAGGACTTCTGATGTTGTGATTCGACATTGCGATACGCGCAAGATCCTTGTTTTCCCATTTGGTGGTGTGATGAGACTCATGTAAAACTTGTCGGTGGATTCATCCTTTTTTCAACATCAATTCCATATTCGTATCATTATGGCTTGACATCGTCCAGCAAGAACATCGATTTATTGAAAAAATAATCCACAATCCGAATAAACCACTATTCTTTTTGGTTAAAACTGAGAAACGAACTGGATTGACTTCGGTAGTCTTAGACGTTATATTGAAGCTTCTAAAGCGGAAAAGTATAATTTCATTATTTAAATATAGCCTTTTGCTTTCCCTTAATATAGTGCTGGTAGGGGATGTTACTAGAGCGTATGATCTTCATGAGCATTTTATACAATGTTAATTATTTGCATTTCTTCTTGAGGACTGCGCATGGTGTAAATTTCCTGCCAATAAGATGCGCTCTTCATGACGGGGCATTTTGGATAGACATCAACGTACGTTATAAACGACAGAGAAATTTTGCATGTCGTTTACAATGATTACTTATGAATAATTTTTCCTCACTATTTAGAATTATTACATATGAAGAATTTTTATACCCGTTATAACTGTTATGTATAGAGATTCGTTCAGGAAGAGAATTATACTCCACATATTTTTAAGCTTGCATTATAACTTTTATTTTTACATCATTCTTTCCAATTTATAATTAATTCGTAAAAATTTCTTTACAAAAAAAAAAAAAAAAACCAGTAAAATATAATTATATATTTTACGATTTTTTTATATATATATATATATATATTCAAGTGTCACTGTTCAAATATGTTTAAGTTATTCTATGTAAAAATATTTTACTTCGAATAATTTGTCATTTTTTGATTTGAATACTATAGGTATAAGAATAGTAATTCAGTTCAAAGATTACACCCAAGCTAATGTTTTTTAAAAATTAAGAAAAGTGAATTTTTAAATAAAATTATATATAACTTATATGTACATTTTACGACTAAAAACTGGAAAATATCTCTTTTAAGGAATCATATTCTATCAAATTTAGGTTGTTATATATATATATATAATTTCGTGGTGGAAAGACAGACACCTAAAAAAACCGATATCTGCATTTTTTAAGCAGGGAATATTAAGCAGTATTTATTTAGTTACTTTTATTTTTCTAAAATTATTTCGTTAATTATGAATAATGTAATCAGCTCTAAGCTATTAAATAATTTATTATGAAGATTTTTATGAATTAGAATGGGGTTGTTAAATGGCAAGCCGTTTATTCACAATACACAAAACAAAAACTAAAATAAATGCTACAATCTGTTTAAAGCTTACTCGAGAACTAAAAAAATGAAAGAAAAACACTGATAGTACATTTTTAAAACTTTTAACTGGAATTCCTTTGATGTTTATTTAACCCTTGATTCTTTGGCACATTTCAAAGACATTCAAAAATTCTTTTGTTTGCAAACTTTTGAATGAAAAAGAACAAAATATTCTATATATTAAAATTCCCAGAATCAGTTATCTGGTTTATGGTTGACTGAATAAACAAAAAGGGTTCTCTTCACTAATTAAATTCGATAAAGCATTTTTTTTCTCCCAACAAGTTTAAAACTTCTGTAAATAAAGGTGTAAAAGTTTTAATTGAATAAATTCTTCCTTTTCTCTTGTGAATAATATTCTAATATCATCGTAATCTTTCTTTCTTGTGAATCATTAATTTTTCTTTTCTCTTTCTCTCGTTGTTTGCTCAATTATTTTTACACATCGTGTGAACACAGAAATTATCTATTTTGCAAGTATTTTTCATTGAAGGAGAATTGGCTCTTTCATTTTAGGGGAAAATCTGATATAAATATAAGTTCATCTTTTTTTATGTAGGAAAGTTTTTAAAATACTTAACCAATACTTAACACGAAGGTAAAGCCATTTTTTCACTTTAATCAATTTAAGAGATAGTAGAGATATTTTTAATAGAAAATAAAATTGAAGAAAGGGATTTTTATGTATATATATATTTAAATATATATAAATCAATTAAAAAATTGAAATTATATGAATTTTGTAATGCTAAATCTCTTTTCAAAATATCACAATGGTGAATATAGAAAGTAAAATACCAACGTTTTCAAACAAAATTAAAAAATTTATAAAATAAAAATTTATAAAACATCCAAGTGCAACCTCGGACTTAAGACCGATAAGTGGGGTTAAACTAGTTTGATGGCGCCAACCTTCCCCGTGTTGCAACTTTGTGAGTTAATCGGGAAATATTCAATTCTAAAAAATTTAAAAATTTAAAAAGTTAATACTTAAAAAATTAAACTATTCGCCATCGCATTAAAATGTTAAAAATCTAAAATAATTAAGTGCACAATATAATTGAACCATCGAACACAAAAGATGATGCACCCATCTTTAAAATAGTCGTATAGAAAGAAAAAATATTTAAAATTCGAAATTTCAAATTAAAAACCCAGTATATTCATAAATGAATAGTGTAAATCATTAAAAACTCACTCAAGAGCATCCTACCAATACTTCAATTCTCAATTTCTGAACGATTTCTCATATATATATGTAATATATATATATACATATTTAGTTTAGTCCAGTTTAGTCCAAAGACTTTTTTGTATCTACAGTTGTGTCTGGTGAATTCCAATTTCTTCCTGCCTTAGCACTGTAGGTTCTAGTACTTCTTCACTTTTATTTTATTTTACTATATATATATATATATATATATATATAGGAATTTTTATTGTAGAACAGTAACTTTTGCTTTAAATCCAAATTTATTTTGCCCATGCCTTACAAACTTTCTCTGGCTGTTCGAGAATAAGTGGCAAGATAACTGTATAAGCACTTAATACAAAAGGTAATAGATTTAGTACAATATATTTAGTTTTGATATTAATTAGACTATGGGTAATCGAAAATTTATTGAAGTATTTCAAGAAAACTACAGTAGGCGGTAATAAAAAAATCAATGTTGAATCAAGGTAGCAATCTATTTTCGAATAATGAAAGAACCGTAATAGAAAAGTAAGAGTAGAGAAAAATAACGAGAGAATTATCTTATATATCATAATTTATCAATTGTTAATACTCTTCCACAAAAAATGACTTGAAAATTAGAAACATGTACATTTTTGCAGAAAGACAATAACAACTACGTGTCCTATAAGGGAACAAAACAAGAAAAATAATTTCATACTTTCTTTGCGTCATTCAGTTTCCCTCATTAAGAAATCGATGTCGAGTTGGCGAAGAAAGAGGCAAGCGAAAGAAAGAAAAACTGAAGTAGATAGGAAACTATTTAAGTCTATTCGAGGACTAATGGTTTCTCCGAATGGGTTTACAAATGGAAAGCTCGGAATTAAACAGCCCCAATCTTAATTAACGATGGTGTAGGATATTCTCTTTAAAAGTTTCCGTTGGGAGGTGACGCGAAGCAGGGAAAGAACTGGAAGGAAAAAAAGTAGAACGCGATGTGAGGTGAAAAAAAATAAAATCCACTTTTCTCTACGCTCTTATCTGCCAATACTTTCTTCCCATGCGCTTTTACCCATAAAACGCAGCGAGAGAAGATATTAAGAACAACTTTCCAACGTAAGATAATGGCGTTGAAACCTTTAGGCTTAGCTCTTCTCGAAGTAGATGATAAAAAAAAAGTAGGCCGAGTATCATCTTATCCTCTCCCCGTTACCCTTGGGATTCTTCCCTTCGTGTTCATTAAGAAGGGTACAGAAAGGTGTTTACACCATGCGCGCTGGGGTCGTTACGGGGCCTGCAAAAATACACTCCTGGGTAAAGGACGCCATTTTTTTTTTACACTAGGCGCCATCTTAGTAAAATTCACTCCCGCTTCGCGACTTGTCCTTTTCACGAACTATAGGGGAGGCGAAAGGAAATAATCCGCTTCGTTAGCACGAGACAGATGGACAAAAAAATAAAAAAAAAAAAAAAATCAAAGTGATAAAGTTTTGGAAATAGCCGTATGTAATTTATTGGCGTTGAGCCTTTATCACAAGAAGGATATAAATTGTAAGCCCCCCTTTTCTGTCTACCGAAAATCCCTTAGACCTGAGAAGCTTCTGTCGCCTCCATGGATCATCGAAAAATGTAAAAGTGTGTATCAGATTGTACGCTGTTTATGTGGTGATTCCTTTTCAGGAACATGATTCCAGAAAAAAAGGCTAAGAAGACTTACTAGTTGTGAAGAATTTGAGCAATAAAAGAATTAAAAAACAGTGAATGTTTCTTTCTCACTGGTCAGGATAGTTATTTGGAAGTAATGTGCTAAGAAAGAGACTTTTAAGGGAAGTCGTATAACAAATCTTATGTATATGTACCAACTGTAATGAAAATCCATCACAGAATTTTCCATTTTCTAAAGTTTCTGACTTTAAACAAGTAATATAAAAGTTTTGTGTGTTTTTATTGTCAATTCCTATTGTCAACAAAAAAATATTTTATTTTACTTATCTTTCATTAAATAGTTACAATTAATATAAATATGTATGTACATATGACAGAATCTTAATATTAAGTGGTAAAATAGAAAGCGATTTTCCATTTTCCTTTCTAAATATATTGTGTTGGACTGTTATTTTTTTGTTTGTTACTATTTATTCATTAATTAAATTTAATTATACCAATAAAATAGTACAGTATAAAGAAATCACATTTTCAGAAATTAGGTGGGACTTTCCCGGTTGGGATTCGAACCCACGCCTTTTGGATTAGAAGTCCAATGCACTTCCTAATGCGCTACATAGACACAACGAACGATCTTCTTTTTTATATATGATGTTGGACTATTATTTTTCTTTGTTACTAATTATTCATTGCTTAATGAATTAATATTTGAAAAAATATATTAACATTTAGTGTTAGCCACTACAAATTTAAAAAATGTAATTGAACTTGAATGGATGAATATAAAGTATTTTATTATCGTTGAAAATATTTGAACAAGATATATATAGGGAGAGTGTGAAATGATAGTAGGAATTGAGAAAGAATGACATTCATCGAAATGTAACAAATGTTGTCTGTATTAAAATATCAATCGAGTAATATAAAGTTCTTATATTTTAATACGAGTATTTTGAACAGTAAAGGCATTTTTATTAAAAACAAAGAAATATAGCACTAATTACAAAAGTTATTTTATGCATACATTTTTAAATATTAGGAATGCCTTTTCAAAGGTAAAAAGTTTAATTCATATATAATCTTTTCTATTCTTAAAAGAAAAAATTATTTTCAAGAACATTTATTGGAGTCCACTTTAAGAGTAAAAATTATTTGATTATATATACATTGCAAAATTAATTCACTGTCATTTTGTTTGATGCACAGAAATTAAAATTAGTATTTATTTTTATATTTATTTCATTTAACATTAAATTTATAGTGTTTACATACAATGCTTATAAAATACTTACTTCAATACTTCGAACGGCAAGTCTTAAAATAAATTGAGATGAAGGAATTATCGTTCCTTAAATCCAAAACATATTTTGGAAGGCAGAGTAATATAGAAAAAGTAGAAAATTTAATATATCAATAGTATAAATTTAAAAGAACATACTATTTTTCGTAAGAAAATGTTTTTTCTATAATTATTGGAGGGTAAATATAAATTTTGGAGATTTAGACTAAAACATTCAAGGAAAATAAGACAATCTAAGAAATAGGACTATATCACCGCATGTACAGTTTTTCTTTCAGAAACACTTATATACATTCATTACAAATACATTTTTTCTTTATATAAAGTAGCATATATGGCCAGTTGGGAGGCATAGTTGGTTTGACGCTGGCCTCGTTCACCTAAGGTTGTGAGTTCGACCCTTTCTTAAGTCGGTGGCTTTTCATGATGCAGAAAATTGACAGTGTCCATGTATGATTATGAGGATTGTAAAATATCCATCGAGTGCCTGTTTGGCTTGGGTGCTCTTGGTAAAATTAAATTCCAAAGCCTGTTTCGCATCGTCAGAGCTCAGGTGCCTCCCTCTGGGGAGGAAACTGGGCGTTAAAATTATTTGCGGCCATTGGTATTCCACCTATTTGGTGCTGCAGTATAAAAATGTACCAGCTCCCGGGGAATGCACCAGGTTTGCAATGGTAAAATCACTAATTTGCAGCTACATTCGAAATTAAAAAAAGTAACATTGAAATTTTGGAAATGAAGAAAAAACAGCGAAAGCAATGAAAAACGAAACATAGATTATATAGCTCTGTTATTATTGTCCATAGAGATTCTCGTTCACCTACTTGGAGTATTTATTAAGGTCTCAGCCTGGTAACATTTGCAAGTACATTTCGTAATTTTGAACCATGATCAAATAACGAATTCTATACCCGACTTAGCATTCTACTCTATATATGTAAGCTATGGCAACACGTGGACTTCGAGCACCGACAGATGTAATGTGTATCCGTTTGCTTACACTCTCCTCTCTAACTGAATCAGAACTCAAATATATGGCTACATTGAATTATTGCCAGTTACGAGCTAGTCAGTATGTTCACTCCTCTATTGTGCGATCGCAAGTTTTCACAATTAAGAAACATTCCTATAACGTTTAAATTTTATAAGAAAAATGAAGAGCTTGGTTCTAAGTTTCCATTACGCAATAAGCTTTAATTTAACACAATGCGATGCACTTTCTAAGAATAAGAAACAACAATTTTTCTCATACAAACATTGAACATATTCAATGTTTTTTAATATCTTTCAGAATAACTCAGTAGTCGTTAGTAATAAGTTAAATTTTGTTTTAATCCAATTGTTCTGTAAAAGGATGAACGAGGACGTTATAGACAAAAAATCCCGTTCTTGAACTATTAGACCTACAGACTTAAATTTGACAAGAAAGTTTCTTTTGTTGAGTTGAGACCCACTAAGAATGGATCTTGTGGGAATTGACTCCTAAGGGGAAGGGAAGTTACGGGAATGTAAAAGATAAATATACAGTAGAACCTGTTTTTGTGCATTCTTTTTTATGCGATTTTATTTTTGCTCGATTTCTTATGTGCGATCTTTTTTTTATGCGGTGTATGAATTTCAATGGCTTTGGCGCCATCGTAATGTTTTCTGTCTATTTACCAGTGGCGTAACGGATAATGTTAGGACCCCCTTCCCCCTGAAACTCAGGTTTCGCCTTTAATATTTTATAAATTGGATAAACACGTATTTAGCGTTAGTCAGGCCTTGGGCCCCTAGAGTCCTGCCCCCCCCGTGATGTGGGGGTGTACGTTACGCCACTGAAATGTAGACACTTTAAGACGCTCTGTTCATTTGTTATAAACAATCTCCCGACAATGCGCACTCAGTTGCTTTCTCTCAACGCTACAGCAGCCCGCGCTTGATTGAAGACGAAACTTTCAAAACTTTCAATGACAGTGATATTATCAATAATTTGATAGATTATGAGGACGGACAAGAAGAACCGGATTCTTTGAGAGTGGATAAAAATATGCAGGGATCCAGCTTTCCAACAAAATGGAAAAACATTTTCTTAAAATAGATACGTATAAAATTCCAAAAAGGGCTTCAATGAGGTATATCTGGTTATCGTGCAATTTATAAGCAATTGACCACTCAACCTTCGTCACAAAAACTTATCTCTTACTTTATGTTGCCAAAAAATAAATCAATTGAAATTGTACCTTCAAGTGACGAAAGTGTGTGTGTGTGATTTTGAACTTATTCATTACAGGACTTAGGATTACGAGATGAGTAGCAATGAATTATGTATGTGCATTTTGAAAACTTATTAGTATATACAATGAGAAACTATACGTTTTTCAAATGCTCCCATGAGTAATATTTAATTATTTATTTTGTTATGGAAGTACTCTTACATAAATTTCGTAAATAATTGACATATTTTATAAATGCGACTTTTTTTGCTATCCACCGCATAAAAAAATTTTCTGTTATGTTTCCACGAATTAGTCTGTTATATGTAAGAATTTATGAAATTTTTGAATATATTTTGTGTGCCTTTATTTTTATACGATCCCTATCTACCGCACAAAAACAGGTTCAACTGTACTTCCATTTTAGAGATTCAAGTCCTATATAATATATCCTTTCTAAATCAGGAGGCGATGATGTGAGTGTTTTTGGATACAATCAAAAGCTTAATACTAGGACACAGATATCAATAACTTACAAACAATATGTAGTCATGCAACATTATGAAATACCCAATAAAGCTGGAGATTTATAGCTAGTTAGTTATATATATTAGTGAATTTTAACTCTTTGAGATTTATGTAGTCGCTAAGTAAGTTATGTAAATCGCATCCAGTATCGTATGTTAATTTATCTACATATATATATATATATATATATATATTAAACAATATATCAATACACACACATATATATAATATCAATACACATACATACATATATATATATATATATATATATCAATACACACATATATATATATATAATATCAATACATACATATATTTATATATATATATATATATATATTATATATCAATACACACACATATATATAATATCAATATATATATATATATATATATATATTACAAGCTTAATTATAGATTTTACACACCATGATAAGTACATATATTTTTCACTAAAACATTTTCAACAAATACTACCCACACTTTTATTTAATATTAGTCATACTAATCTGTAACACGCTCGCGCGTACGCACGCAAAAGATCAAGAGGCACACTCACTCATGCATACACGCACGCACACGTGTGTGAGTGTGTTAAATGTATATTGCATCACATTAAAACTTTTTATTTCATATTACACTTTATCCTCTAACTATTTTAGTAAATCTAACAAAAAGTCATTTAGAATTAACAAATTTTTCTGTGAATTGGGATGGTAACTCAGCAATTAAGTTTAAACATCCAACAAAATAACTTTTTGCACGCAAGCAAATTTCTTTCAATAGATTTTGACTTAATTCTTTTTCCAAAACAATTTCTTTCGTGTGACTTCTATAATATTCTCTTTTCAAAAATTATTGATACTTAAAAGCAAAATTTTCAAATGGTTGAATGTGTAGTGTTTTTATCATGGCTTACTCATCAACCATCAGTAGTTTTTCTTTACTGAACGACTCCCAGCAATGGCTCCATTAAAATATTCTTCATGCCGTTTGTTATTTATACTCCTTTTGCTATCGAAACTAATTACAGTTGTTCCTTTTCTCGAGAACATTTATTCCACCCATATCAAAGCAATACAGGAACATCAGCAGGACGACATTGCGATGCAACACGTGCTCGAATAACTCGGCGGGAAGAAATAGATTCAGCTCCGCTAAGTGAATGTTCCCGATAGATAATTGGTGACGAAGGAAACGATATTATCCCCACCGTCCCCTGTATCTTATTACCCGTACGACGAGGGATTGGAATAAGGTAAGGAAGAGATATTTGTTAGTTACGAACAAGGCGATGAGATCGCTATCATCTTTGAGTAACGAATTGGAGGAAGAGTATTTGTTCTGACACATTCTACCGAACGGCAAAAATTACTTTATTCCCTATCCTACATGTATATATATATATATATATAGAGAGAGAGAGAGAGAGAGCACAGGGGTGGCCAACCTTTTTGGAAAGAGTGCCACTATTTGATGAAAAAAGTTATGCGTGCCATTTGATAAAAAAAAGTATGTGTACCACTGTTTGATAAAAAAAATGTGCGTGCCATTTCCAAATATTTTCTAACAAACAAACAAACAAAAAATGAAAAA